TAGCCAAGAGGAGCCTAAAGAGATAGGACAACTAAATGTAATGTGGTATCATGAATGGGATCCTAGAACAGAAAAATGACACTAGGTTAAAAACTAAGAAATCTAAGTAAACTACGAAGTAATTAATAATAATATACCAATGTTGGTTCACTAATTGTAACAAATAAACCATATTAAATATAAGATATGGATAATAGGGGAAACTGTGGGGCATAAGGGAACTCTTGTATGTTCTCAATTGTCCTGTAAATCTAAAACTTTTAAAAAATAAAGTCTGTTAAAAAGAAAAAAGGAAAGGGCAAGAGGAGAGTTGGAGCATATGCTAATTTTTTTTAACAATAAAATATCTTTTTTGCTTAATAATAACTCAAATACCAAAAAGAACTTCAATTAAACATTTTACTACTGGACTTCTAAGCAGGATATACATTTATGCTATGAAAGGAGTAGGTACTTTTCCCCCCTTTCCTCCTCTAGCTTTATTGGATAGTTTAAAATTACATTTTTGTTTCCAGGACTTCAGTTGCTTTTTCTATCTGACTTTTAAATACTGATTACAGCAAATGAAACACAGTTGTCTAAATGATATAGTATACAAAAATAACATCTTGATTTCTGTGAAAATGCATTTCTCTGCAATTCCTTACTAGCTCCAAATGATGCTAAGTCTGAGCATAGATGTTTAGTCTGGGTTTTGGATTTAATCTTTGAAAAAAAAATGTATTCTAAATCTTTGCCATCAGCATCTGTATATCCAGCATCGGTGCTGTGAAGTTGTTCCTGTTTAGGCTTTTAACCAGGGTTTTCTCACAGACATTAACACACGTTTGTCTTTTTATTTTGTTTACTTCCACTTAACTGTACTATGTAGGACCTGATACAGATATTACTTGATGTTATTTAATAGCTACTGAGCTCAGACAATCCAAGGCCATCATTATGCTAAAATTAAAGTTATTTATGGAAGCTCACAGAGACTTCCAGAATGAGTTTTTACCTCCTACATGGGAACATATTCAAGAAACCCAGAATAGGCTTACCGGGCTGAGTCAACTCTTCATATTCATCAATCCCTATTTGCAAATGGTGAGGAAAAGGGACTCTTTAACAAAGCATTATACTTAATACCTCTACCAAACTAAACAAACTTTTTTTTTGTAGTTCAATGCAGAAAGTTGACCTTTTTTTTCTACTTTTTCCTTGTTTTACATAACAAGTAAAGTTTACTGGCCTGGAGTGGCCTCTCTCTGCCAACCTTTGGCCAGTGAAGAAGATTCAGAGACAATAATACAACCGTCAATCAGAATAAGGTGGTGGGGAGGTTAACAAAGTTAAATAATTAAGCTGTGGCTTTAATCATGCAAGGTGCCCTGACTCACCACAGAGGTAAACAGTTGACTTCACTTGTCTTGCTGCATTTAATGGCTACATGACCAGTTTCACCACACCTGCAACACTTCATTTTTGTGCAGTCTTTTTGAATGTGTCACAAGAATAGCAGTTCTCATCCACATGGTCACAGTCATGAGCCAGATGGCCTGGTTTGCCACAGTTATAGCAGCACTCTTCTTGCTCTCTGTTGGGCAACTTGCAGTTCTTGGCAGTGTGACCACCTCTACTACAGTTACAGCAGGCATCCTCCTGAAGATCACAATCCTTGGCAAGATGACCAGACTCATCACAGTGATAACATGTCTGGAAGAGACAAGAAAAAAAGCTGGAAACCTCTATCTGAGGTAAAACCACCTCTACCACAGCTTCTCATTCCATGACCATGGCCTCCACCAGTAGAGCATTCTTGGGCCCAAGGTGCCCTGACTCGTGGCCGGATTGTCCACACTTGAAGCAATTATTGCTGCTCATGGCTGCAATTAGATCTTTGGTGTCTGAGCAAACCTGAAGCAGTGGAGACTTGGATCCAGTGGATACTTTTTTAATTGAATGAAGAGAAAGGTAACTTTAATTTTAGGATTGGAATGACTCAGCCTTATATTTAGCACAAATTGGAGGTGCCTAAAGGGCTTATTCTCTAGATATTAAAAAAAATTTTCTTTGATTCTTGATATAACTAAGCATTGGCTTTGGGGATCTGGTCTCAATTCTGCCTTTTAATCTAAGATTGATTTCCCTCTTTTGCATATTGTACATTATCATAAAAGAGATTAACTGCATGAGTGTGAAAGTTAATTAAAAGCTGCCTATATATTATTAGTCCAGGTGTGCTAACAATTGACAGTGTTAATAAATGAGCAACACATTGCCATACATTCATAGAGATAAAGGGGGCTAATTTGTTAAATTACAAAGAGAATAAGCTTAGTGAAATAAAATCTACAAATGCTATACCTAGGAGCTGCTACACACTAAGTTTTGTGCTAGACGGGAGAATTGGAAGGGCATGACAAGCATAGAACAGGGAAGGCACAATTTTATGGGTGGGGTAATAAAAGGTAATTATCCAAAACAAATATGATTTATTGTTAGAATAGACTGAATATATACCATGTTATTCTTTCATCCCTATTTATATATATTTATGTCATTTCAGGATAGTATGGAATTGCTATGGCTATTGGCTCTAACAGAGAAAAGCTACCAGTCTTATTTTTCAAATTTTCAAGTGCTTTAATTTTCTTAACAGAGAACCATTTCCAGTATATCATACTTTTAAAAATGTACAAATTTGTTACACAAACAATGCTATAACAAGAAAAATACTGTAAAGGGGAAAATTCATCCAAATTCTACATCCTAACACATTAATTGTCTTCATTTTCACTTTTTTCCCCTTTCAGTCCCTGATTAAGTGACATGGTTAGACCAGGTAAATGTTCAATGTTATAATGCTGACGTAGCTGGGAATTAAAGAGCTATTGTTATCTCCAGGAACAGGGAAGTTGGAGTCAATTATCAGTTCTGTTACTTATTTACTAAATTTCTTCACACACCCAACTTTCCCTTTCTCTGTTTACACTTTTAAGCTATACTGGACTACTGCATTTTAAAAACTAGTTTCATTTTTAAGGAACATTGTAATTTTAAGGGGATTGCTAATCTGTCAATTTATGCAAAATTCCTTTGAGATAATTAAGCCTCTTGTTAGAAGTAACAACAACAATTTATGTGCTAAATCATGTCGTCTTATTTTTTTTTAGTTTGGATTGTTTGGCATGAAGACTAGAATAATCAAGTAACACACCAGTAAATTCTCTGAAAGTATTTGCTAGTCTGAGTTAATGTACCGTCATCCTGATTTTGCGTTTAAGGAAACTAGCTCCTTTGTCATAGTAAATTAATTGGTGATGTATGCTTGGGTTTATTTCTGTGCTCTCTATTCTGTTCCATTGATCTGTGTATCTGTTTTTATGATACTATACTGTTTTAATTACCATAGCTTTGTAATATAGTTTGAAATCAGGGAGCATGATTCCTCCAGCTTTGTTCTTCTTTCTCAAGATTACTTTGGCTATTTAGGATCTTTTGTGGTTCCATACAAATTTTAGGATTGTTTACTCTATCTCTGTGAAAAATACCCTTGGAATTTTGATAGGAATTGTATATTACCTTGGGTAATATGGACATTTTAACAATAGTAATTCTTCCAGTCCATGAGCATAGAATATCTTTCCACTTATTTGCATCTTTTTCAATTTCTTTATCAATACCTTTTAATTTTCAATATATAGGTTTTTTATTTCCTCAGTGAAATTTATTCCTAGGTATTTTATTCTTTTTGATACAATTTCAAATGAGATCATTTTCTTAACTTCTCTTTCTGATTGCTAGTTTTTTTTTTGTATTGATTTTATATCCTGCAACTTTACTGAATTCATTTATTCTAAGTTTTTTGATGGAGTCTTTAGGGTTTTCTATATATATCATGTCATCTGAAAATAGGGGGTTTTACTTCTTCCTTCCCAATTTGAATGCCTGTTTCTTTTATTGCCTAGTATGACTAGGACTTCCAGTACTATGTTGAATAAAAAGTAGATCATGATATATGATCCTTTTAATGTATTGTTGAATTTGATTTGCTAATATTTTGTTGAGGATTTTTGCAACTATTTGTGTGGCATCCTTATCTGGTTTTGGCATCAGGGTAATGCTGGCTGTGTAAAATGTATTTGGAAGAGTTCCCTCCTCTTCTATTTTTTGGAGAAAGATTGGTATTAATTCTTTGAATGTTTGGTAGAATTCACCAGTGAAGATATCTGGTCCTGGACTTTTGTTTGTTGGGAGGTTTTTGATTACTAATTCAATCTCCTTGCTAGTTATCTGTGTGTTCAGATTTTCTGTTTCACCACAATGTAGTATAAACCTTCCAAGAACCCAGGAGTTCCTTTAAAAAAGTGAATGTGTTGTAACAATAATATATTGTCATACTGTATAAAGAGTAATGAGACATCATCCCTTTATTCAAGGAACTCTAAATCTAGTGTGGAGATACACAATACACCACAGTGCTACCAGAGAAGGAAACAAGGGATGTAGTAAGAGGGGTGTGTGTGTGTGTGTGTGTGTGTGTGTGTGTGTGTGTAAAAGCACAAAGAGGGGCACCTAACCCAGTCTTGAGAATTTAGAGAGCTTCCTGGAACGAGGTAAAATCTCACCCAAATTACATCCACCCGTTATTCCTCCATTTTTTTTTTTTTTTTCCCACTTCAAAGCTCATATTGCTATTCGTATTTATTTACTTATTCGTGTGACTTGTTCAGGTCGGCTGCCTCCCCATTGGGACTTAAAATCCTTGTGAGTAAAGAATGGGTTCTGCTCTCCCATGTGTCAAGTCCCAGACTCCAGCACAGGCCTGACACAAAGAGGCGCAAGATTAAGGAACTGGGGACTGAACAAATGAATGAGCCCCCAGATGGGAGGAGAGGGGCGCGGCCCCGCACGGGTGGCAACCACGCTGTGCGGCTGAGCAAGCAGCGGAAGCCCCTCCCCTTCCGGCCGTGGCGCGGACTCCAGGGCAGTCAAGGCAGCGGGCGCCGGCTCGGCCCTGCCCCTTCTCGCCGCCCCGCCCCGCGCCTCTGCCGGCCGGGTTGCTGTCAGCTCCCTCATCGTCCGGCAGAGACGTGGTGTATGCTGAGCCGCTGCGGCCGCCAGCTGCTGCAAGTCCTGGGCCTTAGCTTCCCGCTGCTTACCCACCGGCCGCATATTCTCTACCCTCACCGCCTCATGAAGCCGCTGGTCGTCTTCGTCCTCGGCGGTCCCGGCGCCGGCAAGGGGACCCAGTGCGCCCGCATTGTCGAGGTGAGGCTCGGGCAGCTGGCAGGCTACCTGGGCTTGACCGGACGCCGGGCCGGCTTGTCCCGTAGCGCCCAGTTGTCTGCGCTCCCCAGATCCGGGACTACGAGTCCCGGCAACCATCGCGCCGCCCGCTCAGCGGTGGTGGAGGGTGCTCCGGCGCTCGGCATTTCGGGACTGGTAGTCCACGTTGCCCACCACGGGGGCGCGGGGAATGGAAGGGAACCGCTTGAGGTCGCTTTGTTCCTGTGCCCTCTTTCCTTATATTTTGGGGACTAAGTTCGTCTCGAGAGTGGGCTGGGAGAGGGATCCGGGAGGGTCAGCCTCCAGGGAATCACACAGCGCCCAGAGGTTAATGTGTCGCTAGGTGCGGAGTGGTGAAGGCAGCAAGAGCTCAGATTTAGCTTAGAGGCGGTATGCGCCCACAGCTGCTTGCCCGAAGGGGAAACCGGTTTTTTCATTCCGTCCCTTCCTGCAACCTCTCTAAACTCCGAACTTTCACCTAACCAGTCTTTATCCTAGAAAGGAGCCCCAGCGTTCAGGGTGTTACTTTAGGTGTTCTGTGATTTGCCAGTAGCGCTTTCTGGCCCCTTCTATGAGCAATACCAGCCCTGAGGCTCCGCCTAAGTTTGTGTGATTTGGAAAAGCCGTGGAGCCGAGTACTGACATCAAGCTTCAACCTCTGGCCCTGCTGCCAACTCACGCTTTGTTCATTGCCAAGTCACTTCCTCTCTCCGAGTCTCGTCTCCTCTAGAACTTAAGAAGAGGCTGTGCACCCAGTTTTAAACTCAATATAAAAGGCCTCCTACTGTGAAATTGTGTTACTTTTGTTTTGTTTTGTTTTGTTTTTTACTTCTAGGTGTGGTAAGGTTACCAGTTAGATTCTTTTAACAATTTTGGAACAGATTCTTGGTTTCCTTCAGTGATGCTGAGGAGTGCTTATTGGAGAGACTGGGGGAATATGTGGGACATAAGGAAAACAAGTAGAAACAGAAGAGGCGACCAGTGGTGCTGTAAAACATACCCTGTGAAACTGATGACCAACAGGTTTTGACCCAGAACTTCTAAAATAATTACCTCTTTGCGTGGTGTGGCTTATATTAGCTTTGGGTTTTTACTTCTCTTCTATGTTCATACAATCCACTCCTGTCCTATATTTTAATCTCTAAAGAGCACCCAGAAAAAGTCCGACAATAACATCTACTTCATTATGTCTTCTAAAGAGCACTCAGAAAAAGTCCGACAATAACATCTACTTCATTATTGATCGTTTTTAGTAATAAAAGTGGAACTAATTCAACCAAAAATACATAAATATTTTTCTCCTCATTTTCTTTTCACTTTTTAAAAGGCAAGTGACAATTGGATGATTTCAAGTTTTTGATACATAAAGTGATTCTTATATGTAAATAACATGATAGAAGGTTTAGAGTCAAGCAGATATGGATTCACACTGTAACTCTGCCATTTACTGTTTCTTTAGTCCCAGAGAAATTGTTACTTTTAGCTTGAGTTTCTCTGTATAAAGGGAGAAATAATACCTATCTAGTATGGTTTTTGTGAATAGTAAATGAAGTACAATCTTTGGCAAATACAGATACAAATAATTTTTTTCTCCATTTTAGACTTCTTAATATATGAGATTGGTTATTTTTACTTTGAAGTAGTATTTTTAAAAATCGATTTATGACTATTATATTTGAATGCATTTAATTATTTTGTTTCTGAATCATAATGTGGCTTTAAATGTCCACACCTACACAGTTAGTACCAGCATTACTTCACTGAATTAACAGTATTCTACACATTCAGTAACTAGCATTTATTTATTCTGTTCGGGTTGACAGCTGGTATTATTTTAAACTTGTTAATTACTGCGAGATTTCCATGATGAGATATGTCTCATAATGTATTATTCTTTAAGATTTAATGGTTATTTGAGCTTAAACTGTTTTAAACTGTCATCTTTCATGAAAAGAGTTGCTCTTGATTCTAATTGCCATAAACATTAACTTGATATCTATAAATTCCAACTAGTTTATAATTTAGCAATTGCTATCTTGTAGTTGACTAAATAAACAATGGAATGTCTGTGGTCAGTTACATGAGTTTTTTTTGCTTTGTGAGTCTCTTGTATTTGGAATCAATATTTTATTCTATAGGCAAACATAAGCTGACTCTCTAAAGACTGTA